TTCGAAGGCAGGTGTACATATCTCCTCCAGAAGATAGTTTCCAAATTCCCGATACACTAGAAATTAATTACGATGACTTAAAATATCGCATATTTCTTACAACAGATTCATTATGCTATAAGTGCAAGCAACCAGGTCATTTTGCATCTCAATGTGCCCTCAACTCCAAACTTCAACTTCTTCATATACTAGATCACAACAACAAAGTTCCTCTCTAAACCATTCCTTAGACAGCAATAATGTAGGTGAGTCTATATCAAATACTACTAACCCTGAAATGATAATGTGAACAAACACCAATTACCCCTACATTTAATGAGCACAATCCCGACATACCCGCTTTTTTTAAATTTCAAACAACTTCGATAACTAAACCTACGACCTCCAAACGAAATTTATCTGAAATTGCAACACCTATCCCAGAAGATACACCAGATATTACTAATTCCTCAGAACCAAAATCTTACTTTACAACACCTGTTCCAAAAGTTCCAAAGAAAAAGTTGAAATCGAAAGATAAACCCTCATTGGAATTTCGAGAATTGCCCCAAGAGATAACCAATTTCATTGACAATCACAATCCCAAGTTCCCACTCGATAGTCAACAATTCACTGATCTGTTAGAGAACACTCACGGTAGTAATGATGCATCAAGCATTGCTAAAGACTATACCCTACATATTCCATCTCTTATAGAAATGATAAATGAAATACATACCCAGGCTGAAGATCGAAATATGAAAATTAAATGTACTAGACTAAGCAAAAAATTAACTAAACAACTGCTCGAACACGTTGGTTCATCTGACTTAGACAGCGATATATCTTAAAACTAATTATTTAAATAAAAATATAATTCATGTATAATATTATTCTACAGTAGAACTTAAACAGTTTTCACACCCACCTACCCTTATTTCAGTTACTTATTAGGAAATATTCACCTGATATTATATGTCTTCAAGAAACTAATTTTAAAAGCAACAATGCGTATAACTTGAAGTCATATAATGTTTACTATCAAAATAGACAGACAAATCATGGTAATGGCGGTGTTGTGATATAATTTTCCGACATAATTATGCAAATTCCATCACCAAAATTAATTCTCGGGGACTTTAACAGCTATAATCTTCTATGGGGTTCCGAAAAAACAACTAAAAATGGAAAGTTATTAGCAAACGTAATCAATAGCATGAATTTAACAATAATGAACGAAGGAGCTAAAACTCGTTTCGACGCAGCTACTGAAAATTTTTTAGCTATCGACTTGTCTATTTCTGACCCATCGACGATACTAAATCACACATGGCACACCGTAGACGATTTATATGGAAGTAATCATTATCCAATAATAGTAACAAAAATTTCCAACCCCACAACAAAAACCAATCCTTTGCAAAAGTGGAAAATTTAGCAAGCCAACTGGAACATTTTTAAAACAAAAATTACTGGAAAAATATCGGATATCCCTATAATTGAAGAAGACATAAACTTAACTTTAAAATTGTTTAATAACTTAATCACTGAAGCCGCCACAATTGCAATGGGAAACATAAAGTATATAACAAAAAACAAAGTTGTTCCCTGGTGGAACGAAGGATGTAAATTGGCAATAAAACAAAGTAAAAAAGCTTTAAATACTTTCAAAAGACATAAAACCAATAAGAACTTAGAATAAGAAATAGAGCTAAAGAAAAAAAGGGCATATGCAAAATTAATTACTTCCAAATCTAAAAAAGAGTCCTGAAAAAAAAAACGTTTAAAGTATTAACAGGAATACAAACATGTCATCAGCATGGAAAAAAGTTAAGAAGATATCTGGTGTCAGTACACAAAATGGAATAAAATACCTAGAACGAAATGGAAACATAATTAATGAAAACAAAAAAATTGTAGAAGAATTAGCTGAAACATACCAGACAAAATTCCACAAATGAAAATTACAGCAATACTTTTACGATATCGGGAAGAAGAAGAAGAAGCAAATCCGATAGAAATTATAGCCAATAACGATGGTTATAAATATATAGCCAGATGGATATAAATACTCCAATTAATATAACAGAACTATTAGAAACAATCCAAACGTTAAAAGACACATCACCAGGTCCAGACGACATACCCGCAATATTCTTAAAACAGTTACCTAACGAAGCTTTAGACTTTCTATTGAATCTTTTTAATACAATCTGGTGTAAACAAAAATTTTCTGACTTATGGAGACAAGCTATTATCATCCCTATACTAAAACCTAGCAAACCGGCTACAGCGGCAGAATCATATAGACCAATATCACTTACATGTTCTACTTGCAAACTGCTCGAGAAAATAATAAATAATAGACTTATGTGGCATTTGGAACATCACAATTTACTTATACCGGAACAAGCTGGATTTCGTCCTTTGAGATCTACTATAGACAATGTTTTACATTTAGAAAGTCAAATTAATGAAGCCTTCTGTAACAAACAGAAATGCATAGCTGTTTACTTTGACATCACAAAGCATTTGACTTAGCATGGCGACACAGAATATAAACAAAGCTGCAGACTTGGGGAATTCAAATAAACATGTTGGCATTTTCGAATAACTTTCTTTTTCTTCTTAACATGCCATACACCAAAGTGCGTAGGCGACTATCTCATTACTAGAATTCTGTTCTTGGCGGCGTGACACAGCTTACCTGTATTGTGTATTCCTGTCCATTCTTTAATATTCCTTAACCAGGACAATTGTTTGCGGCCGGCTCCTCTCCTACCTTCGATCTTCCCTTGTAGGATTAACTGTGGTATTTCATATTTTGCTCCTCTCAATATGTGCCCAAGGTAACCAATCTTGCGTTTTTTAATTAATTCAAAGAGTTCTCTTTCTATTAAGAGGCTCTATTAAGGACGTCATCGTTTCGAACTCTATCCACCCAAGGTATGCGCATTATTCTTCTCAATGACCACATTTCAAATGCTTCAAGTTTGTTGATAGATGTTTTTTTCAAATTCCACCTTTCCATGCCATAAAGCAAGATGGACCATAATATGTAGCACTTGACCATTCTGTAGCGTATTTCGAAGTTTAGGTGTTGATTACATATAACTTTAATATAATGAATATAGTGAATAACTTTCTAAATGAACGCAAATTTTCAGTACGTAGTAATGGAGAACTTTCTAGCATTAAATCTCAAGACAATGGAACACCACAATAATTAGCCCTACACTATTTTTAATAGCAATGAATGATGTTATAAAAAATCTCAAGAAACCTGCACAGGCTAGATTATATGCTGATGATATGATAATGTTTATTAAAGGAAAAAATATTTACTCGATGGTCAAAATTTTACAAGAAGAACTAAATAAAATCGAAAGTTGGTCTAATAGGAGTGGATTCTATTTTTCAGCTGACAAGACACAATATATTATTTTTTCCAAAAAGCCTATTCACACTAACATACCTGCCTTAAAATTCGGCACAAAGTTTTTAAAACGAAGTACAAAGATAAAATATTTAGGCATAACATTCAACAAAACTTTAAGTTGGAAACCATATATTAAACAATTATCGATATTATGTCAAAATGGTATAAATCTTCTTAAATGTTTAGCCAACAAACAATAGGGAATGGGAACTTAAAGAGCCATCATTACATGAACGACGGAAATTACTTAGTCTATCTTACGCTTCAAAACTAACATCACTATAATCTGACAACCATTTTCTTACTCAGTCATTGTTATCAAATATCAATATAAGAACACACTTACCATTTCAATTAAGGATCAAAAACATTTTAAACTCTATTGAAATTTTTAACTTTCCCTCAACACATTCAGCAAACGTAAACACGCCACCTCCCTGGTTAATACCTTTTCCTACTTTATATTTAGAACTATCATCATATCATAAATCTGAAACTAATCCACAAATATTTATAAGCAATCATAATAGAATACTTTCTTCTTTCATAATTTGTTATAAGAGACATAATGAAAAGTTTCAAATTGCCCACAGAATCCACTGTGATAACTGGAGAATTGTATGCAATATACAGAGCTCTAATTCACATCCAAACAGTCAAACCAGATAAATTCCTTATTATTACTGACTCAATCAATTCGATTCATATACTGTCAAAAATGTACACTTGCAACCCGTTAGCTAAATTAATTAAAAACAAGATGTAGCTGCTGGAAAACAAAACATTAGTCTTCGTGTGGGTACTATCACATATAGGCATTTGCAAATAGCAAATTCCCCAAATATTAGACCGATAATAAAACCATTAGCAGAAGATCTCAAGCCGTACTTAAAAAAAAAGATGATATGGAATTGGACTAAATGTTGGGAAGAAAAATCCTCAAAGTTAAAAGAAATTAAACCAAATTTTGGACGATGGACTAACAACGCCCCTAGCCGTTTCCTTCAGGTTGTATTAACCAGGCTCCGATTAGGACACAGCAAACTCACACATGAATATCTTATGAAGAAGGAACCTCAACCAATATGTATGAGTTGTGACGTGCCGTTAACAGTGAAACACGTATTAACGGAGTGTCCCAAATAAAGTGCTGAAAGACTAACTAATAAAATTCCATCAGTTATAAGGGACATCTTTAGTGAGTGTACCAGTGAAAATATTGTGAAATTTCTTAAAGACATTAATATTCTTAACAAAATATAATATTTATTTATAAGTTACTTATCTCATGTTTATGTTTATATGTCGCTAATAACCCCAGAGGTTGATGCGACCATGTTTGTAAATAAAAAAAAATTATTTCAAAGAATCTAATCGTATTTAATTTTCAAATTATTAAGCAAAGGTATATATGGAATTTGTCTTTTTCTTTAAGTGTCTCCCAATCAGAGGTTGGATATCATCATCACTATCTTAACTCTATCTACAGTCCCTTAAATTCTGCAACCATGACACTCTCCTTCTTTCTATACTCCTGCCTTCTCTTATATTTCCCTATATTATCAGCCTTAGCAGTTCATATCGCTGTACCCTCATTACGTGTCCCAGATATTATAACTTTTTTATTTTTATTGTGTTTATTATTTCGAATTCTTTGCCCATTTATCGCAATACTTCCGTGTTAGTTTTCTTCTTTGTCCATGCTAATCTAAGCATCCTCCTATAACACCACATTTCAGAGGACTGTAACTTATTTATGTGTTCTTGCTTCAATGTCTAACTTTCAAGTCCATATTACAGTATCGAAAACACGTAGCATCTCGGTGCTCTTACTCTCAGTGCTAATATAAGGTCCTTGTTGCGGATAATTGTTTTCATTTTTACAAACGCATTTCTTGCTATTTCTATTCTGGCTCTTAGTTCGGTTGTTTGATCATTATTATCTGAAATCCAGGTTCCTAGATATTTGTATTTATCAACTCTTTCTATCGGTATATTTCCTAAATGTATGTTTGTTGGTATATTTGTTTTCTTTGTTATTATCATGTATTTGTTCTTTTTTATATTCATTTTTAGTCCACATTTTTCACAGAAACTGTTTATTTTGTTTAGCAGTAATTGGAGTTGTTTAGCAGAGCTTGCCATAATCGCAGTGTCATCTGTATATCTTATGTTGTTAATAGATCTTCCGTTAATTATTATTCCTTCACTTTGAGATAGTAAGGCTTCTTCAAAAATGGTTTCACTATATATATATTAAATAGTAATGAAGACATAATACATAACTGCCTAACTCCTCTCCTGATTTCAATTTCTGGACCGGGTTCGTTATCTATTACGATTTGTGCTCATCGATTCCAGTAGTTTGTTATTATTCGTAAGTCTCTATGGTATCTATGGAATTTGTAAGTATAATCAAAAGTACAGTTCAATTATGTAAAACTAAGGAATGATAAATTTGAGTCAAGTTACTAATGTTAGTTCTATTGTTAAGTGCATTGGGGTGTTTAAGTATATAAAACATTTACACGAACTGTCTTTTAGTGTAATTGTTTTTACTACAAATAATTTTAACCTTTTTAATAATTGACCTTGTTTTTAGTTGCATATTGTTGCAACTACAAATAGCATGCTGTACTAAGGCGCAAGACTGTTGGGATAAGTTAATATCACTGCTCTATGCAACAAGTGTTACATTCTGCACAAAGAATGTGGTAGACAATATTAATTGTTCAAGAGGAGACAAACGACTTTTGGTTTTTAGATACAAGTTTTTGAGAGTCTTAGTGTTCTTAATTGCAATTTTAACTGGTATATTTTTAAACAAATTAATAAGTTTGTCTGAAATTTTGTCTTGAGGGAAGTATGAAAAGGATGAAAAATTGAATATTCACGTAATCTAATCAGAGGACTCCAATGTCTTGTAGTTTTTGGCACATTTGTTTATAAGCTTCTTTGAAAATAGAACTAGTCTTATTCAATGTTTTTAGAGTATTTTCTGATTTCATTCCCATATAATGGTTTTCATTGTATATCAGTCGCAATTCATTCTTCAGCCGTTGCAAATCAGTAAACAAATCCAAGGAGCACATTTTCAGATTTTTAAGTGCATCTAAGCGGGAAACTGGCTACAAGCGGCCCAGTGTAGAGAACACTGGAAAGAACTGAGGGAGGCCTATGTCCAGCAGTGGACGCGATTGGCTGAAGGATGATGATGATGAAGTGCATCTATGTGGAATTCTTTGGTGTATTCTCCAAACCTTTTAATGTCAATTAACTGTATAAAATAAGTCTTTTTAAGATCCTGACGTATGGTTATTTGTTGATTCGGAGTGTTATAACATTTAATAATCAAGCGCCTTGTATTGCAAATTTCTTCTTGTGTGAAGTCTGAAAGTAAAAACTTACAAATACAGTTTCAGCTTTGTTGAAGCATTGTGTTTGTTTTTGATATGTTAGTGTGCGTTACTTTCCTCTCTCCAAGTGATTCTGTTGCTGCGTTAAATATGTTAGTGTTGAGTTCTTTCCAGGTTTCATTGATATTATTGTTTTGTATTTTATTCCCAGCAATCTTATATCCTTTTTCTGTACAGGTACTCCGTGGATTTCGTGTTTATTCGTTCGACTTTGATTTTTGTTTGTATTGGTGCCGCTCTCTTGGTTGTGAAGTATTTCAGGATAATTCTTATTTTACATAATACTAGGCTATGGTAACTACCTATATCTGCTAAGTTGAGGCATCTTACGTCAATTATTTTTGATAGATGTATATCGCTGTTGGTTATAAGATAATATATCATAGATCTTTGTCCACGGATGTTATTACGGAGCGTCCACGGAGCGAGGTGTATTAACTCAAGTAAAAACAGAAGTCACTCCTTCTCCTTCTTCAGATGCAAATCCACTAATGGATGTTAGCGATCACATTTTCCATTAATTCTCCATTTCTTGCAATATGTATCACAGATTGTATGTCGTTAATCCCTGTCCATTGCCTTATGTTTCGGAGCCAGCACATTTTCTTGCGTCCCATTCCTCTCTTGCCTTCAATTTTACCCTCAATTATAAGTTGGAGGAACTGGTATTTTTCATTTCGCATGATGTGACCTAGATACTATTAAAATGACCTACTAACTATTAAAATACGAAAACTTGAGTACTTGGGACATGTGATGAGAGGGCAAAAATACGCATTATTACAACTTATTATGCAGGGCAAAATCCGAGGAAAGCGAAATGTGGGAAGACGAAGAATATCCTGGCTTAAGAACTTAAGGGAATGGTTTTAATGCAGTAGTGCAGAACTTTTTAGAGCGGCAGTCAACAGAGTCCGTATAGCCATGATGATTTCCAACCTTCGATAGAAGATGGAACTTAAAGAAGAAGAAGACCTAGATACGCCGTTTTCCTTTTCTTGATGGTTTCGAAAAGTTGGCGTTCTTGGTTTATTCTTTTAAGGACATCTATATTTGTGATTTTCGCTGTCCATGGTATTTTTAGGATACGGCGATAAAGCCACATTTCGAAAGCTTCTAATCTGTTTATATCCCTCGTTTTGAGTGTCTAGCCCTCTATGTCATATAGCAGCACTGACCATACGTAGCACTTAGTAAACCTTAGTCTCAGTTGAAGATCAAACTCTGAACAAGTCAGTACTTTCTTGAATTTTACGAAAGCTTGTCGAGCTTGCTCAATGCGACATTTTACTTCCCTGTCCGATGCCCAGTCTTCAAAAAGCCACGATCCCAGGTATTTAAATTTACTCACTCTTTCAATGGACTTAGTATTCAGTGTTATTGTGGAGTTTTCAAGTGAATCTAAGTTTCTGGAGATGATCATAAATTTGGTCTTTTTGGTATTAATCTCTAATCCCATTCGCTTACTGTATTCTCGGATTATAGTGACAAGTTGTTAAAGATCGACTATGTTGTCACAAATTAAGACACCATCATCAGCATATCGTATGTTGTTAATCAATACTCCATTCACCTTGACTTTTGAAATATGGCTTCCGAATAAATGTTAAATAAAAGAAAGGAAAGTACACATCCCTGTCGAACGCCTCTTCTTATATGTATGGGTTTGGATATAGAATTGTCTATTTTTAACTGTGCTGTTTGATGCCAAAACAAGTTTTCAATGCATCTTCTGTCTTTTTGGTCTATATCAACTTTCTTGAGAATCTGCATTAACTTGTGGTGTTGGACACGATCAAACGCTTTTTGGTAATCTAAAAAGCATAGGAAAACATCCTTCCTCTGATCGTAACAATTTTGGACCAGCACCTGTGTTGCTACTATTGCTTCTCGTGTTCCTAAACCTTGCCTAAACCTGAACTGGGAATCACTGATGCCCCATTCACATTTTTTGTATAATCTTTGATGTAGTATTTTTAAGAATATCTTTAAAGTGTGACTCATCAGGCTAATGAGTCTGTGATCCTCACATCTTTTTGCATTGACTTTCTTGTGCATGGGAATAAAGGTAGAGCGTAACCACTGTTGAGGATAGCAGCCAGTTTCATAAATTAAATTAAATATTTTGTGTAGTGCTGAAATTCCCCTTTCATCTAGTAACTTGAGTACTTCTGACGGGATTTCATCTGGTCCAGGTGCCTTATTGTTTTTTGAATTTAATATTGCCTTTTCTATCTCCTCTTTGGCGATTGAAGGGCCAGTTAGCTGGTCGTCTGTATAAACTTCACTCATGGGTCTTTCGTCATGGAAGAGCTCCTGGATATAATTTTCCCATATATCAATTTTCTCCTTTTCACCCAGCACTATCTGGTTATCCTGATTAACTATGGTAGTTGGTCTTCGTTTTCTGTATATTCCAGCAGTCTCCTTAAGCTTTTTATGTAAATTACGGTCATCGTGCTGTCGTTGTAAATGTTCTAGATCGATACATTGTTGCTTGAGCCATTCATTTTTTGCTATTCTTATTTTTGCTTTTATTTGCCTGTTAATGTTTTCATACATATTGCTGCCATCTTGGTCATTCTTGTGTCTTCGTCGTTCTTCCATTAGTAATAGTATTTCTTCTGTCATCCATTTTTGCCTCTTGTTATTTCGTTTGTACCCTAAGTTGTTTTTCATGATGTCTGTTACAGCACTTGTAATCGTATTCCATGTTGGTGTTAGATCTTCGGTAATGTTTGTCGTCAATATTTGAATTTGTGCGTTTATTTCATTGCTTATTTCTGCTTGTATCATTGGGTCTTTCAGTTTATCCAGTGCTATCTGTTGTTGAATTTCAGACTTGTTCTTGCATGAAAGAGCGATCTTTATGACGGCCACTAATAGTACGTGGTCAGAACGGACATCTGCTCCAGGGTACGTGCAAGCTCTTTTGACAGTTGTGCTGAATCTACTGTTGATAAGAATGAAGTCTATCTGATTTCTTATTATGTTCTGAGCTCTATCGGCTGGAGATTTCCAAGTATAAAGGCGACGGGGGTGGAGTTGGAACCATGTGTTGGTAACTCTCATGCTTTCTTCTTGACAAAATTGTATAAGTCGGTCGCCCCTTTCGTTTTTTGTTCCAAGACCATAGGGTCCAACTACGTCTTCAAAGCTGCCCTTCCCTATTTTGGAATTAAAATCTCCCATAATTATGTTGATATCATGTTTCTTTGTCAATTTAAGTAGTTCTTTGATTTCACTATAAAAGTTTTCCACTACTTCATCTGATGCGTCTGTAGTTGGGTTGGTGCATAAACCTGTATGATGTTGAGATTATTTGGCTTCACTTCAAGTTTTACTAAGGCCGTGCAGTCGGAATATGGTACAAACTCTGTGACAGCTCTCACCAATCTTTTAGTGATCATAATCCCGACGCCTTTTCTATGATCGCGGTCATCATTGCCTAAGTAAAAGAATGTTCCGCTTTCTGTAGTGCATATACCGGATCCAGGCCACCAGGTTTCTGAGATCCCAAGGATATCTAGATCTAATCTGCTCATTTCTTGAGTTAGGTTAGCCAGCTTCCCGGCTTCAAATAAGCTCCGTGTATTCCAGATGCCTATCTTTAATGTCTTTCTTAAGTTTGCTCGTACGTTTGAAACATTCAAGACCGCTCCCCCCGGAGATCCGACTGGGGAACTATTTATACCTCCGGATAATTTTGAGTTGAATGTATTCATGTGATTGTCTTGGGAAATATAATTAAGGTGGTATCCCGTTCATGCCGCTTCAGGGTTTAGTTTTCAGCCGCCCACTATGGAACATACGCCGTTTGCAACCGCCCATTCTGGGTACAGACGTTGCTATTTTCACCA